TTAAGCTAGAAAAGGGTGGATTTAGGTCAGGCATATAGGAAAAAATTCCTTACTATGAGGGTATCTGATCACTGGAACAGGTTGGCCACAGAGGTGGTGGAGGCCCCATCCCTGGATATATTTCGAGGTCAGGCTTTATAGGCCCCTGAGCAGCCTGACCTATCGGGGGGTGTCCCTGCTTACTGTAGGGGGGGTTAGACTAGCTGGCCCTTAGAGGTCTCTTCCAACCCAATACATTCTATGATTCTAAGAAACTGTCTACATTTAAATGCTAACAGGATACAGGGAAAAGATAAAATACTCCAGTTTTGCCTGAAATACATATTAATTGAACTGGAATTTTCAGGTTATGCTTAACTTGTTATTCGAAGGTTTCCAACAGGTTATGAATTACATGCTTTTTTACAAAAGCAGAAAAAAAGTCACATACTATGTTGTCAAGCTTTAACTTGAAGTACAGAAGGGAGACTGAATGAGCAATTTAGAAGAATTGCCAAGAGATTCTAAACATCAAATGACTGTGCAAAAAAAATAACTTGAAGTCCACCACAGTGACTGCAAACAGCATAGTGGGGGAAAATATGTTAAGCTGTACACACAGCAAAGGGCTCCACATTGCTCAGCCTATCAGGAAAGGAGGGCAGGGAGAAGTTGGTATGGAAGCATCCACAGAAATTGCATCTATACAGGTATGCTACTTTAGTTTAGAGTTTGAACTTGAAAGCGAGGAGATAAATACTGCCGGAAGCCAGGGTAGAGTAACTTGGTTATGTACTGAAAACCTGAGAAACAGTAATTTATCTTCATTGTTCTGGCCCTTCACCTCAGAGCTCATACTATAACAGAAAAGAGTTCTTATCTCGGCCCTGACAGTTAACCGTTTCTCCAAACTGCCTGTTCTGCTATCTAGGCTCTTCAGTCCCCTTTTCTAGGAATAATTTCACTGACCTTTTCGCCTCCTCTTCCTATCTCGGATGATTTCCAAAAGTGTTCACAAAGCCTGCATGGCTTATCACAAAACTCTCCCATCTTGATGCAGTAAATATCTTTTTAACAATCTCACATGAAACTAAAGAACTAATTACAAATTTAATTCTGAGAAAGTCCCCTTATAGCAGTGAAGTAATCTTGTTTTAAAAACAAAACTAGAGTAGTAACTCCTCTTTGAAGCTTAGTGGTTTTTTTCATTGTTACTGTTGTTTAGGGTACCCTTGACTCATCAAGCGCTTCCTTGATCTTCCGTAATCGCTTAAGACAGCCTATACTTCCGTCACAATTTATGTTACCCAAATTGTGTTTTCATGCCTTTATCTTTTCCTATTGGAATATTTAAGCAATATGTTCCAAACATCATTGTTCTTCGTCTTTGTAAGAGAACATTTTTGTACTTTTATGTGGTCCCTCTTTGGTGGTGATGCCGAAACCTTTGGTAGAGCTGCAACCTATAAATCCATTTGCCCCAAATTAAATTTTCTTCCCGCAGGCATCCTAACTGGTCTTTGATGCAGAATAGAGCCAAATGGGGAAAAAAAGAAAAAAAAAAAAACCACACCAACCAATCAGTAGAATTTTTCAAGAGTTTTTCTAGCAAAAAAAAAATCAGACACCCTGGAGCCAAAGCAGATTGTCCAGCTTAAAACTGCTAAGAGCACTCTCCACATCTTCCATGTTGCCAGTTTTCAAAAGATTGGTTGTCCAATCCAATTTTAGCACTTAACATGGAAGGACCAAAAAAAGATATTTCTGTGGTTATATTGTTTCATAATGGAGATTAAACATCTGAATAATTTTGTAAGTTTCACTTAGAGTGGTACATTTGGGGTGAAGTCTTACGAACTATTAGGAAATTATATGAATTCACAATGCGTTAGGAGTTTACTGGTATTGTCTACTATAACTTTACTACTGTTCTTCCCTATAGTTTTTTGTTCTTAAGAATGCCATACCGAGTTATGAGTAGAATTTAACAGGATACACATATATATATAACATTTTGAGACAGGAAGTAAAAGACTTCTATTAATAAACTTTAAAATCTCTGAGTAAAAAAAAAGTATTATGCATAGTGTATAGATTGACTAATTGAAAGACAGGTAGCTCAAGGTTAAACTGACCCCACAGCCAAAAAGAATAACTGAGTTATGAAACAAATAGCATCCAGCGTATCTTTTTTGTTTTCCTTGCGCAGGAGTTTCATACCCTTATTTCAATCACAGTCTGTTTTCTTTTCTAAAAAGCAAAAACCTAATTTAGAAGCAAATATCCACTTACTAGACTAATCAAAGGGATTTAATGGGAACTATTCCATATACAAACATAGTTTCTATGCATGGCCAAATTGGGTTATGCAGGTCTTTAAATGTTGTTAGGGAAGAAAATCTTACCAAAATACGGTATTCATGGGCATACTTTAAAATAAACTTCCTCTATAAGTAAAGATTGGTACAATAGCCTGTTCACAAATCAAACTGATTAAAACAGCAACTCTTGGGCTGCTTTACTTGCAAACACTCTTGTTAGCGTTTCACTGTTAGAGCAGAAGAGCAATTGTAAAATTGTACAGGCAGCTCCCTATTTTGGAACCCAGATCCTCCTTTCTATAGGTCCTGGGCATACAGTAGATGCTACCTTCTTTATACAGCAGCCCCACCCTATGATGTGGAAAAGGCTTCATGTGCTCTTAATCTGAAAAAGCACCAGGAAATTGGGAATCACATTTTTCTTTCTCTGCATCCCAACAGCCTCTTGCCCTTTGGGAGACAAATCTCGCCCTGGTGTGGAGAATACTTAATGAAATCCTGCAAACCCCACTGATAAGTAAATCAGTTTTGTAGTTGTTTTGTAGTCTTTACCTGACTCACCCTGGCAGAGCTTCTTCTGTGCAGACACAACGGTTGCACCAAGTCACACAGAACCTAAAAGTAGCAGGAGGAATAGTGGGATTTTGGGGGTTTTAGTGTAAAAATTAGGGTTGTGCACCCCTCTACCCTGCCATTTGGGCTGGTGCTGCGGGGCTGGGCCCCAGCTCCTCAGCTGGCAACATGCTGGTTGAGGAGAGCCCAGCAGGCTTGCTTCGGTCCCAAGGAGGCAGGCAACACTGAGCCTGTTTCCTGGCTCTTTATGTGCGGATAAAAAGATATATTTATATGTATGTATAAAAAAGCTCTCGAGACGGTCAGGTTGCCAGCAGGCTCAGCCTGGGTGCTTTATCTGAGCCAGACCCAGTGCCTGTCAGCCTTGCTAGCCAGCTCTGCGCTGCTGCTGTGCCCAGGAGGCTGGCTCTGGAGAGCCCTGTGCCCGCAGTACCACATCAGAAATTCATAGAATGACAGAATGTGTTGGGTTGGAAGTGACCTCTAAAGGCCAGCGAGTCCAAACACCCTGCAGTAAGCAGGGACATCCCCAGCTAGGTCAGGTTGCTCATGGGCCTATCAAGCCTGACCTTGAATGCCTGTAGGGATGGGGCCTCCTCTGTGTGTAACCTGTTCCAGTGATCAGCCACCCTCATAGTAAAGAACTTCTTAATGCCTAACCTAAATCCACCCTTTTCTAGCTTAAAACCATCGCCCCTTAGCCCTGTCGCTACAAACCGTTAAGAACAGTCTTCCCCTGCCTTCTTACAGGCCCCTTTCTGGCACTGGAAGGTGGCTGTATGGCCCCCCTGGTACGTGCTCTTTCTCCTCCAGGCTGAACCACCCCACCTCTCTCAGCCTGTCTTCATTGTAGCATTGCTCCAGCCCTCGCTTAGTGATTCCTATGCAGCTCCTTCAACATGCTTTGGGGCCTTATTTTTAGCTTTAGTGGGCATCTTTCTTGTTAAATATTTGCTTGTGCTAAAATGCAGTTTTTAATTAAAGGTGGCAGAGTTGGAAATGCAATCACTTTTGTGCCTCTGATGCCACCTCATGCTTATGGAAGTTTACTTTGGAAACATTACTGATAATGTTTAGCCCCTAGTAAATCTAAAGTGAAGGCCTTGCAGGATGTTCCTTTTTTCACAACAGAATTATTCAGTTATTTCCTGCTGGCTGTTACATAGTAGAATTTGTATTGGTCCATACACAAATCTAGATATATAATCATCTTAATATAAAATAAAACAAATGACAGATGAGAGACAAGAAAGCAGGCAACTGAGTGACAGATCATTTTTCTGCTCTTCCTAGAAAAGCTAAAGAAGATTATGTATGTTGCAGTTGTGTAAATAGTATGTAGGTGTGCTGGATGGAGAGTGACATATTACACAACTTACTTTTTTATGATTTTATATGATTTATAATTGTTTATAAAGAGTTTATTTACATCCTTATATATGGAGGGAGCAGCTAATGCCTAATTTTATTAATTCCTATGCTTTTGTCATTCTTTGAATAGAACTGGGATCAGGTCTACCCCTGCTTAATTGTGAATTGAATACAACTGAGAAGAGCAAACTATTTTTTTATGCTTTTTATTTTATAATGTTATATGTTCTAAAGTGCTTCAGCAGATGAAAGTTAACTTTTTTTATTTTAGCATTAGCAAAATAGCATGGATAAGAACCTTAAAGAACAGTTCACAGGAGTAATTGAATTTACACCTCCTTTGTATAAACAACGCTACCAGTTCATTAAAGATTTAGTGGGGAAATACAAACCTAAGAAGGTTGGTATGATTTTGTCTTTTTATGTTAAAGATTTGGAAAAAAAGGTTAACATTAGCTATTGCAGGAAGACAGGAAATGCATAGACTACCTGCTGAGCTAATTACCAATAGGAGCAGTGGAGGAGCTGAACTGCCTTAGCAGGCACTTAATGATCGTGTTTTGGTTTTCAGGGGTGCATATAATTAATGTTAATTGATGGGAAGAGGGGAAAATCTAAACGAGAAATGCCATAGCGTCTTTTGGAGAGCAGGTGGTGTTCTGTTTTAATTTAACACTGAGGATTTTGGTTCAAGCTGCTTTTATCATAGTTTGGTTTTGCTTTGTAGAGGTGTTGGTTCCATGTATACACTGCCAGGTTTACCTCATCATTCACATGGATATTCTCATTAAAAATGTAGGGTTGTCTGAGGCTAACTCCTCACTTGCTTAAAGTCTTGTCATCCCCCTGCTGTTTATTCCCACCACAATATACCAGGGATCTTGCTTCAATACTCTTTGAAAATTTAAATTACTTAAGTCATGTGGTGTAGTGTTTGCTCTTTTGTAATACATCCTGCCATGCCAGCACCTCCTCCCAAAATGCTAAAAGTTGGGTGTTTCACTCTGATGTTAATGTCTGAGGGAGCACATAAGAAATGAAGAAGCAATATATCTGCAGCAAACTCACCTAATCATGCTTACAGTACGTAATAAAAATCTAATCCAGTCTGTGAGATCATAGCACTGTAATCTGCTTTTAAATAGGATGTATTCAGGAGTGTTGCATCTGTATTTAAAGGTTTGAATTTTCTGATTTTGGATGTAAAATGGGGGAGGAGTACAGACTTTCTGTTCATCTACAGGGTGATTTAAACTGAAAAGAAACAATTCAGGATTTTCCTGCTGAGAACCAAGCAGTGTGCCTTGACTTAACCCAAGGAAGAACAGTGGGATTTGGTTTGTGTACTCAACTACCTCTTAATCTTATAGGAAAGGATATCTATTATATGTTTGACTTTGTGGTCTGGATATCCCAAGCCTTCGCCCCCTAAACATTAGCCGTAGTATGTAAACTTGTTTTATGCAGATCCTCTGTTGTTGACCTGCCTGCTGGTGGGCCTGGTCTCAGTGTTTTGGATGAAGGGTAGTCCAGTGAAAAGTAGTGGTAAATGTAAAAATTGCTACAGCTTTAATACTTAAAATCATACCTTACCATTATTTCAGGGAATGTGCCTTCATGTGGAAGACATTCACCAGAGTCAGTGGGATGTTCTATGTGTGTGTGTTTATAGCTGTCATAAGAAAAGGCTAATGCTTTTAAAACTTCTTGTAGGATCTTCATATACATTTTAAAAAATAATTTTCAAATCTACCTAGCCTACTTGCAGCTGTAAATTTTGGCTGTGATTGTGAAATGCTTTACTTTACCATTTAAAAGTTATTTTGACAGAAATGTGGAAATTTTGTTACAGGAAAGTTTCTGAAATTATGGAAATATGACACATTTACACATTGTTTAATATCTAATCTACAGGTGGCAGATATAGGATGTGCTGACTGCACGCTTCTCTGGATGCTGAAATTCTGCAGTTGCATTGAAGTGTTAGCTGGGGTAGATATCTGTCTGAGTGTAATGAAAAAGAAAATGTAAGCTCTGTTTTAATTTAAGGTTTCTGTTTAGCTTGACCTAGTGGAATGTTACATCATTTCTTGTAAAGAATTTCAAAAGGAGGCTAAATGCAGAAATAGCAGCTTGGTGAATGAAGAGAGAGCCGCTGTTGCTCGTTAGCTACGTTGCATCTGGGTCTGAGGTCTGCTGGGCTGTAGGTGCCCATAGCATTCCTTAGTACAGCATGTCTAAGACAGACTTACCGTGTGTCTAGAGTTAAGTTACTATCTGAATTTACTAGCAACTTTCCAACTGGCTTGAGATTATAGTGGAAGTTTTTGTAAACGTGAAGGACAACTGCTGGATTAACTCCTCTGCTCTTTTTGTCCTATTGTAAATAGTCATAAAAAGTGTTCATGTTAGAAATTACTTCTTTATCCCTATAAAACAGTTAACCTTTTTGAGACTTACAGGGGCTGGTGTTAGCCAGTTCAGTTACATGCACAATTTATCGTGTCATAAAGTCCTTTCTGTGTCCTTTCTGTTTTTAATACTCTTCTAGGCATATGTTGGGTCCTCTTCCTGTTGATTATTTGCGACCATCTGCGAGATCCCTCACTGTTACCTTGCATCAGGGCTCAGTTGCCCAAAAAGATCCTTGCATGCTTGGTTTTGACTTGGTAACATGTATTGAACTGTGAGTATTAGGTCAACATACTACTTTTTTTTCTGAGTTTGTTAGGGTTCCCTTTGGAATGTCCATACTCTAAACAGCATCACACCTTTCAAGCAGAGGAGTAGCAGAATGTTGCATCTTTTAACTTATGCATAAATTAACCGTACTGAGACATGCAAGTGTTGCTAGCTTATGGTGGAAAAAGGATATGGATGAAAAAGTGCAAAATGCCAGAGGAAGTTTGCTCAGACAAAAACCTCTAAGCTGCCATTTAGCACTGGCACTGTGGCTAATATTGCAGAGCTAGGCTTAAAATTAGAAGGTACAGATAGGGGTTGTGGGTTTTTTGATTTTTTTTTTTTTTAATAATTAAGGAGATTAAAATATATTAGAGTGTTTTTAAAGACATACAGAAACTTATCCTTTACAGAATAGAGCACCTGGAAGAACCAGAACTACAGAAGTTTCCTGAAGTGGTGTTTGGTTTCATGGCTCCAAGTATAGTTGTGATCAGCACTCCAAATTCCGAATTTAACCCTTTGCTTCCAGGAGTGACTTCATTCAGGCATCCAGACCACAAATTTGAATGGAACAGAGTGCAATTCCAAAGCTGGTAAGTTTGCTGAACGTGATCTGCAGACAGCTTTGAGTGCTGAGTTGTGTGAGAAAGAAATAGCTGTACATTTTGAGCGTGGTTGGTGTACATGCTAGAGTTCATACCTTCTGACCTGCTGAAACATTTCTTTGCTGTTAGGAATAGTTCAGCATACTCCATGGGTTTTTCATTTTATGATGGTTAAGTTGGCTTGCTTTTACTGTAACTGTTCCACAAAAATATTTAAAACTTTTCCTTTGTGTATCTTTATTGCATTTAATACATTTGAAGTGTAAGGTGTTAATAAACCCTTTCACATAATGATACCCTGCCATAGAAATACTCCATAAAAACCTAAGAAATGTGGTCACTATGTATGGTGTGTAATCAAAGCACTCAATTAGTCCAGACCTTTCTTTATGCAGGCAGGTCACAGTAGCAGAGCATGTTGAATAAAATTAAGGATAGTTTAACCTATCATGGCACAACAAAATACTTTATGCAGGACATATGTACATGACAGAGGGTTGCATGAGATGTGTGTTACTTTAGTATCAGTAGATGTAACAGAAAAAACAGTGAGGGAGTGGGATATATATCCTGTGATAGCATTCAACTGATGGGCAGTTGTGGAAGAAAATAGTATGGTACAGTAAAAGATGCCATACCTTAATAGCCAGCCCTTGGTCAGAAATTGTCTTGGAAAATTTCCCCCTTAAATTAGGTTGTTTCTGCCAAAGACTTTAAAGTATGCAGTGATTTTTGAGTATATAGTTTTGCAAAGCTTGAAGCATGTATTTTTCCCTAAATAGAGACACAAAACCTGCCTGCATTGTTAACTAAAGTATGACTACCTTAGAGACCATTTATGTGACTTAGAATAAATTTAGATTCTGGTTTTTGGATATATGTGAATTGACAATACTGGTATCGCTGAAGGAGTGATCATTTTTTGAGCTGCAAACATGAGAAAGTCTTTACATTTGTGTTGTGAGATGTAAGAATTGCAATATTCTCTAAAATACATGAGATTAATTTAGTTTGCTACTTTTCCATGGAGGATGACATGGGTAGGTAGTGAGTGCCATTTTAGTTCCCTGCTCCATCACGTTTTGCACACTGACGTCACGTGCATCATTGTAACCTTGTGTAAGTAGACTTCACATTTACAACAAACCTCACTTTTTTTTTTCCTCTTAGCTGGTCTCCTGTGGTTTTGGGGTGTATATTTGGGGTGTATATGATTCTAATGTGTGGTTCTCAAATTTGTTCTCTAAAATTGGTAGTTTTCAGCTCACTTTCAATGCATTTAAGACAGTGAGTAAGCAACTGTTAATATGCGTATTCTATGCAGATATTTTAGAAATAACAGTAATGTTTGATTGCCAAATTACTGATACTAAATGATTCAGACTATGGTAGGCATACAATTACAGCTCTGATTCAGTGGGTTCTGACAGTGCTTATCTTCAGGAATGTGAGTCTTATTAGGAAAATTATGCTCAGGCTTTCACAGGCTCACAGACTTGCTTCTGTTAGAGAATATGTCTTTATCACATTAAAAGATTATTAGTATGAATTATTGGAATAATTTGGAAATATTGGAATTATTTGTCTTTCTTAGGGCTCTTGAGATTGCTAGAGACTATGATTACTCCGTGGAATTTACTGGTGTGGGGGAGCCACCAACAGGAATGGAGGATGTTGGGTTTTGCACCCAGATAGGTGTGTTTATTAGAAAAAATCCTCAAACCAGTGAATTTACTCAATCTGACAAAACCACTGAAGCAGTTTACAAAATGGTAAGTATTATTTTCTTCCTTTAGGATGATGAATAAAGAATAAAATTTTCTTAGACCTGTCTGTGAAGGTGTTCTTACTATGGTCTCCCGTTGCTATCCAGCCCTAGCTGTGTTGGACACACACCATCAGATCAAAAGAGACATGATTTGTGTTTTGAATTGCATAAAGACCTTAAACTTTTTTGCTGTTTGCCAAATAGCAATACAGATAATCAGTCTTACTTTAACATACTGCTATCCTTAGAATGAGAATACTCCTTTCCAGCAGCTATACTGTGAAACTGTTTATAATTGTTCCTCTAATCATTCGTTTTTTCGACACATAGTTGTTGGCACTGACAGAGATTTTTCAGATACACAGAAAATAAAAAGCCAAAAAAAGCATTTCTAACAGAGTGTAAGTTTTGAAGTCTTGTCAAATGTATTATCAGAAGGAAGGCACTTTGCAGAAACTGGATTGACAGGACCTGTTTGGTGTGGTTTGCTTTACTCAGCAGCATCATTTGAAGTTACATCCTAATCTCAGTGTTTTCAGGTAGCCAGTTCTGGTTTTCATCGAGACAGGGGATCTTGCCAAGTACCCCATTCTCTGGTGGTGCATTACCAAGCCTCTTTGGTTTTTAGCACTTAGTGGCTTTCACTTTAGACAACATCAGATAATATTTTTATAAAGTAGTCTGCTGTGTGTTGCAGTGTGTCACACCAACAAAGTCTAATACATCCAAGTGCCATGTGGTATAAATCAAAGGATGTTTGTTTTCAGATATAACAGGAAGTAATAAGGCAAAAAGAGATATATATTGTGGTGGGGTTTTTTTTCAGTATTATGAGACCTAAAATGAGTTGTTTCAGTGAATATAATCTAGTATTTCACTTCTTTTGAGGATAGACACACTTATCTTTGAAGTGACTTGTGAGCTGAAGTGCAATGTTAAGTCACATTATGGGAATGTCTTTTGTGGTTTCCAAGCTATAAAGACATTCTGTATGTTCGAAATTTCACCTGTCATCTGCTGCCCTTCATAGAATCACAAAGTACTCTTTAATGCTCAACAACCTTAGAAACATGCCTCAGTGACTGACATATACTAGAAAGTGCTTTCATTACCTTCTGTTACAGGGTGATTATGGAAAGTCTTTTGACATCAGAATCCTTTGAGTTTAAACAAGAGTGTTTTAATCTCATGAGTATACTATCAAACCTGGATAATCAGGTTAATTTTTATTATGTAACTGATTTACAGGAGTAAATCAACATTTCAAAATGGAATCAGAAAGTAGGAACAAATAGTTACAGACTGTGGAACTTCAGTGCTAGTGTGTTGGTATAAAGCACTTCCAAGTACACTAGTGGGAGTAAGATTGTCCACCTAATTTCCTTATTTGCCTTGGAGTGTAGTTCAGTGTAGAACACACCACAGGTTCACAGATTTTGATGTCACAATTTATTAGCGTTCTTTCTCAAGTGAGAGTATATTTAATGTTTTACTCTGAAAACAGAATGAAAGACACAGCTGTAGTCCTGGCTTCCAGGTGACAGTTCAGAAGTAGTTTAGAATCCATGTAGCTGTGGAACTGCCACCAGGGCCTCATGATGAATAATTTGGAAAGTAAAAGAATGGTTAAAAATAAATAGAATTGGAGGGCTTCACCTTGCCTGATCTAGAAGCAGAGCTTGCAGATATAAGCATGATTTTTTTCTGTATAAGTTCCATTAACTTGTCTAATTGCCGTCGTAGTTGTAATACATAAAATCAAGTCATATTGTCTAGTTCTCCTGTTACCTGAAAATGTTCAAAGTGATAAGCAATTTTAGAAGCTGATTTTGACAAGCGGATGTTAAAATCTGAGCCCATGATGATGATTAACATTTTACATATTCTTGTATGTTTTAAAGGTCTTCAAAGCAGTGTATCCAAGTCTTAAAGATGAGAAGTACCTGCAGAATGCAGTGGTCAGTGAAGTTATTTTCACAGCACAAAGCATTACGCAAAGTCTGCTGGACCGTTCAGTGTCAGAACATGGGGAGTGTAGTGAAAGAAAATCCAAATGCCAACCTTCAATGAACCGTTTTTCAGAAGATCTTGGAAAACTGGTTGTTGAAAAAAGCAAGGAAGCATTTGTCAATGGAAATGTGGTTTATATACCTCTTACAACAATCTTTTCTTTTCCCAGAGTGAATCAACTTTGTGCTACCTTTGAGAAGTTATGCAAGCTTATTTCTGGCAAGGTCACACTGAACAGTGATGGGTCTGCTGTGATGTTCAATACTGAACATGAAAATAAAGAGAATTAGATAATAGGTTTTTCATACAAAATTCAATTAAAGTTAGAAAGTATTTTTTAGTAGCTGTCAAATGGTGTGTTCTGTGTGCTAAATAGAACCACAAAACCTTCTCTAAACCTTCCGGTATTTATCCATCAGCACCTCTCTCATTTGGTGAAGATGAGTGCATCTGACAAAGATTGCAGTAACTTGTAAGGGTTTGAAGTAGAGTATCAGAGGCTAAAAGGAAAGGATTCATTCCTGTGAAGAAAAACTTTAAGTATTTCCATTTGTTTTCTATTGTCATATTGTAGCTGTTATGACTAGATTCTTTTTGGCAATCTTTTATTAGCTCCAAGGATAGCTGATGATAACAGAACTGTGGGGTTTTGCCAAATACGAATCAGACATGGGTTTAGGGCAAGCTTTCTTAATAGAATAAAAATAATAAATCCCTTTTTCAAGATGGGCACATACTGAGCCTTTGTGAAAACCAAATACCATTCCAAATTAATTGGAGTATGCTACAAACATTTAGAGCTTGGTAAATTCAGTACTGGGGAAGCATGCCATGATGTTGGATTTAAGATGGTGGGAAAAAAGGTAGATTTAGTCATAATGTTTTATTCAGTTTCTTGATAACTGTTGCTTGGAAGATAACTTGCATCTTGTAACTTTACAGAAGCTGAATTTAACTAATTTGAAACTGATATTTTGACTAGTGTGGTTGTGGTTTGGTTTGTTTGGTTTGGTTGTATTTTGGGAGGTGGGGATAGTGGTGGAATCTGTCATTGTGAATGCTAACCTGGCACCAGTGTACCTGGAAAAAGAAATGTGCAGCTGTTGTCCAAAAATTCTTGACAACACTTTCATCAGAGATGAAAAGCAGAAGTGTTTGTAGACAGTAGAGCTTACTGGAGTGGCTGAGATGACTTTTTCTTAATCAGAACTGCATTGTATATGTAACTGTGCAATAAACAAACGTTAAACAATGGACTTATGAAAACAGAATTCTATTTTGAAAGAGGCACAAGATTAGCTTCTTCATACAGGGTTAATTCTATATTTTCTGCACACTGCAGTTCTTTTTAGGTTTCTTTGTGTACGCAAAATTTTTAGCCAATAATTTTAGTATCTCAGCTGAGTATTTCTTATGAGTAAAAAGTTTATTAATTAAAAGACCTCATTCTTTGTTTCACAATGTGATTGCCAGCTTTGAATGAGCTGATATTATTTGACTTGGCTTCATGTTTGTGAAATGTTAAAGTTTCACAACTTGCTGAACATAAAATTCTGTGTAAGAGCTGACTGCTTAAAGAAGATAACTGCATTCTACCTTCTACATTTTTGGAATTCACTTGAAACGATTAAGGTGAGAGGTTAGAAATAAAGGGGAAAGGCAGCTGCAATTCTCTGAATTGAGAAATGGCACAGAATTTTTAATGAGTTAAATTTCAGGGAAAATATGGTCTTCAGTGCTCTCATACTGAATGATTAAAAAGTGCTTACTTAATAAGCTTTGTCTTTTGTGGGATATTTTTCTCCAACAAATATATGTGTATTGTTAAAAATTAATTTAAGAATTCCTTTAAACTAATATTACAGTATTTAGAATGGTTTAACTTTTTTGACATTGTGATATGAATTTGCCATAGTTGGTATGTTCAAATATAGGTAGAATTAAAAAATGGTAAATATTTGTCAGACATTAATAAGCATAGCAGTTTGAGAGTAGCATAGATATGAGAAAATCTGAGTTCACTATATGGTTTACTGTAGTTAGATTTTGGACTAGGGAACTTGTTCCTGTGTTGGTTGTTCTTGAAGCATTGTATCTTTAGTATACTTGATAGAATGATCTCTTTAAAATGAGGAAAAGGGAAGAGAAAGAAGACCTGTCAGATTTGGAATGATACTTGCTTTGAATTTTGTATGTGGGTAACATATAACTACAGGAATTTCTTGTGAACAGGTAAGACTATATATGTATGTGCTTGGTTTTCCTCAAAATATTATACCCTTAAGGCTTTGTAGCTATGTTTGAAAAATAGTTTATGTGAATATTTGATAGACTGATGCGAAGGGGCCTAAAGGGGTACATGGATCGTCTCCCTCTTCTGTGTAACACGGTCAAATACCAATTCTTATATTCTTGCTTATGGCTTTCCTGGGGAAATATGAAGTCAAACTACAGATTTTTTGCCCTGTGTGTTCACAGTGTTCCTTAGTATACTTATATGTACTGAAACTGAAAAAGCTATTACATATCATATATAGAAATGCAATTTAGAATATTTATATTTTCATTGAGACTGCTAGCTCTTACTAAAACAAGCTATGCTGTTTTGTGTGTCAACTGTCCAGGTCTTCACTGGCTTAAGTCAATTTTAATTAAGAATTTATTTAAAGTACTGAAGGAACTGTCTTTTCAGGAGCAGTTAAACCCTTCACTGTGCATAGATCTTCATTATCAGGTTTAAACTAATACTTATGTTTGTGAATAAACATTGTAGTTATCCTGTGCCACTTAAACTTGCAGTTTGAGATTGGCTGAGGTCAATTCTGATACTTAAATCAGGATCCTGAAAGTTTTATGAAGATGAAATGTTTTGGACTGCATGTGGCAATAACGTTGACCAGCAGATGGCACACACATCTCAAAACAGATCAACCTTAGCTTGTTCAAAACTGTAAAATCCACATAAAGTAGATTAAACAAAACAAACAAACAAACACAAACAACCAAAACAACACCAAACAACAACCAAAAAAAACACCAAAAAAGCAAAAAAAACCACCCCAAAACAGTGCAGGATCCTGGACATATCGGGAAATAACTTGATAGCAAGTTAGTAGGGATTAATTACGGTCAGAATAACTGAACAGAAGATTTCTGGTCATTGTTTGAAATAAATAATAAAAGTGAGAAAGTAGTGTCAATAAATGCTAGAAATATCCCCTCACTTATTAATAAATAAACCTCAACTGCCTAATTGTGAGAGCTGGAAGAGTTAATTGTCTCCTCAGGGATTCCTCAAACAAATGGATCTCACAGCGAGTAAATTTCTAATGTGTTCAGCCTTGTCTCCCATAGATTTTTATTATATTAAGCTCTATTTCATGCTTTTTAGCATTATGTTGATAAATGAGATATGGATCATTTGGTTAATTTGGACTTTTTTGTTTTTCTATTGAGAGTGACTAGAAGTAACATAGGAAGGGGGCTTCTGAAAAGACAGAAAAATTCTTACATAAAAGTAATTTGCGAAGTCCTTTGCGCTTTCCTCCTCATTCACAGAACAAACGCGCTTTAATGCAGTGCTGTGTGCAGGCAGTTCACTGGGGACATCCCTGATATCCATGGGTGGTGATACCTTCTCTTAACTTTCTTTTGTCTTTTTTTTTATCTTCTGTCTTACTTTCTAACTCTCTTCTACTAATTTTTATTAAGATTAAGTAGCGACCTATTTTTAGCCTTAGGCTGCAAGCAGGGAAAGGATGTTCAACCACGTGCCTTCATCCGCAGCACTTGCCGGTCGTCATTAGGAAGAGACAATAAATAGTTTTGTATTGTTTTCTGAGTCTCTGCCATGGCTCCACCACCTCTGGTGGCCCTGCCATGCAGGGAGAGCCCATTTTCGGGGGATTATAAAGATTGGCCTCCCAGGTGATGTGGCTGTCAGTGCTGCTGTGTGATGGTGATGACCTCAGGGGTCTTTTCCAACCAAAGTGATTCCGTGATTCTGTGAGTCTGCGCGTGCCTGTGTGTGCCTCTGTCCGAGCGTGTCTCCGCTGGCGCACATCTGCGCGTGTCCCCTGGCTAAGGCTCTGTGTCCGGGCAGGCCGAGGCTGCTGTGTCATGGAGAGACCCCAGATCATTTCTAACTGATTCCCTGGTAACTTGTCCGGAGGGAGCAGAGGTGGAATGTGATCAGTGGGAGCCAGGCAAGGGAGCTCTGCCAGCGCTGCCCCACTCACACCGCTCCCTCCTTGGTGGTCGCAGCAGCGAGTGCTTGCTCCGTGCCAGCTGCAGCCACCACCAGTGCCTCTCCCCAGGAGGAGCTGGAGAGCAGTGGGTGTGTGATGGCTGTGCTGGCCCAGGCGCTGGCCAGAGGTCCAGCTGGGTGTCAGGGCCAGCTGAGCCTGGCAAGCGCCAGTCATGGTGGCAGAGCCATTACATACCCTGGGAGGGAAGGGCTGTGTGGCTGGGGCCTCTCCAGGAGCATAGGTGGGTGTGCAGACATTCCTGCCTCCTCTTACAGCATCCAGTGGGCAGTCAGAGCCAGCCTGTCTCAGCACCAGCTGAAGAAAAGGGAGAGAATGGGAGGACATTTGCGGTGATGGTGGCTCTGGTCTTCCCAAGGAAATACTGTGCGTGCTGAGGTCCTGTTTCCCAGAAAATGGCTTAACATCAGCCTGCCAATGGGAAGCAGGGAATCAATTGCTTATTTTTTATTGCTTGTGCACACAGCTTTTCATTCACCTATTAAACTGTCTTTATCTCAATCCACGAGCCATCTCACCGCCTCCTATTTTCTACCTGTTCTAGTGAAGAGGGGAGTGAGCAGCCAGCTGTGTGGGTGCTGGCCTGTTAGCAGGGACCAGCTCACTCCATTGGCTCATAGACTCATACATCAGAGAAACCCAGGTAGGAAGGGACCTCCAAAGATCACCTGCTCCAGTCTCTTGTGGGAAAGGGAGTCTGGATGAGACTATCTTGCAGCCTGTCCAGTTGCAATTGGAAAGCCTCCAGCTCCAGGCTGTTCCAATGAATGATTGTTCTCACTGTAAAAAAAATTTCTGTTGAGATGAAACCTCTTCTTTTTCATATCACCTTGTATCATCTCTAATTTCTTGTCAGTCAGAACCCTCAGGTCCCTCTCTGCAGACCTGCCTTCCAACCAGTCAGCTCTCAGAATGTCCAGGTGTATAGGGCAGTTCTTTCCCAGAAGGACTCTGCACATCCCTCAGATGAACTTCACAAGGTTCCTCCCAGCCCAATTCTCCAGCCTGTCACAGTCTCTCTAGAC